ACAAAGAGAAGGCATATTTTATCTAATAATAGAATTTAAATATATATGAAATTAAATTTTTTGTGCTATTACAAAAGAGTATTATTTATCATCTAAAACTGAATTAATTACTAGCGTTAGAAATGTAAAAATATAGTGAATAATAAATATATTAGAAATTTTTATAATAATGAACATGTACTACTTACAAACATTTCAGTATATGATATCACTGTAATATTTCCGATATCGAGTGTATACCTATATTTCTTATCCTACGGTTTGAGTGAATTTCATAGAATATATATATAATAAAGGTTATATATGTATTTAGCTGATATCATCTTATCGATTCTTCAAAATTTCACATTGCTGGTGGATCTCTTTTAATATGTCTTCTTGAGAACGCTACTGTAACAAATGGTCAAGAAGTTGATTTATTTTATAAAAGTAATTTATAGAATGATTTTTTAAGATCAGTTGTAGGTTGGAATTCTTTTATTATGTATGGAATAGTTCATCATTTGACATAGACTGAAACAGAAGAAACAATACGGAATTACTTTTATATTAAACAAATCAACGATAATTCGAAAAAAGTAATTAATTTACATTTATTTATGAGACGGACGATTACACATCTTATTCAACAGTCACAATTTATTGATCTTCAATTCATTTATGAAAATTTACAAAGTATAATGGCGACTATACAAGCAGTGCGAGATATAAACTATTATCAACTATGGTCTAAATAATAACAATAAAGATTATGTACCTATTGCTATTCGAATAGGTAAATATGTGAAACATGGTTTTAAACTTTTCACACCATCTGATCTCAAGGTCAAACGATTTGAAATTTCACCAAGATACATTAGTTTGATCTGCAGGTTAACTCGGTTTTTTAATATAGCTAAAAAAACTATACATTGTAATGATTATTTGATCCATATGCTAGTCGATTTTTTCGTCTTTGTTCTCTTACTTGCTGCATATATTCCGATACATTTGCTTCTTGTTTTTGTTGTCCACTTACACGTTCTCTATTTACCTTTGCCAAGTGTTGTTTACATATCAACAAAACTTGATTAACCATATCGTTTAATAGTGAACCAACAATAAGTTCTATTTCTTATTGAAAATTAAAATTATTATTTATATCATGTATTATAATGTAAGATAACAAAAATCAACTGATATATAATCAATTTAATGACAGATAACTAATCTTAGGTACTTATTTGTCTTTTTTTGAATAAAACGCAATTAGAAGACAATTATTAATTACGTATTTTAAATAGTAAATAGTAAAAAATTTAAAACAACTAAGTTACTAATTATTTTATAAGTTAGTTATATACGAAATGATAATATTTGTTATTGCACTAATACTCATATTTTCATTTGAAAAAAAACATCATTTAAATAAGCAATAGTATTGATTTTTTTTTGTGTAAATTTTGATGAAATTTTAATGTAGAGCTTTCTGAATAATTTCTTTTTATAAACCATTCTACTTTATTGAACAATATAAATGAATAGACGTGTAGGATTAGTGTACTGTTTATGTTCATCTTAATTGATTTTTTTATAGATCAGTTTAATTTGTTGCTTAAAGCTTTTTTTTGGCGCTTAATTTATAAATCTTTATTCTTGTGTTCCTCAGCAGTTCGTTTATTCAACTTGTTTTACCAGGAATCAAAATGATTTTTACTAAATACATGTAGATGGTGCGGAAAAGAAATCGATCGAGTTTTGGGAAAATTGAATGCCCTTTTTTTGCTGCTCATTATGCAAAGATTATCACTGAATTCATATCGATATTATGAATATCAAATACAATATCAGCTTTAATGCTTCTCATGCAGAAATTGGTTGGCGAAGAGTGAAATAATTTATTCAAACTTCTTTGTAAAAGTTGATTATATGAGTTTTATATATTATATGCAAAAACTAATTTTCACTCTACTAATACTTCTATTGTACCCCATCATTTGTACAATTTTTTTCAATTTTTTGTGCAACACGACACGATAATAAATATTATTTTCAAAAAAAAAAATGAAAATAAAATGTAAAACTAAGAATCATTTTTAAAAAATTATTGTACACTAAGAATAAGAGAATGTTTGAATAAAAATATTACAATAGTATCTTTTTTATTTTATATAGCTTTGTAATCGGTTAGCATAGAAAAGTAATGATAATTATTTTGAAAAAAAGTGATTAATTAGAATTATATCTAGAAATAATAATGCAAAGTTTTTAGAGAAATATTTAGCAGTAGGTGGTAATTTGATAGTAGATTTAGGGTAATTGATATATAACCAGGATTGCCAAATTCAAATTTTAAAAAGCAAGAGATTTCTGTAAAAAAAAAACATGAGAAAAATCAGAAGATTTTTTTTGAAACTCAAGCATAATTTATGATTTTAAGTCAATAAAATTTCACTTTTCGTCCATAAATTCAACGTACTCTTTCAGACGAAACTAATGGTAAAAGAATTTTCGTATTATTGAGTTAAAATTATAGAAAGATGATCATTCATATAATAACAATGCTTATCTGATAATAGAATTTGTTTCAGACGACCTCGTTTATTTAAACATCAGTCATATGATTTTGGACAAGCGTAACGAGTATTCATTTTAATTGTTAATTGTTCTATCTGAATCTCGTTTCATCGTGTTGTGTTTGCCATCTCATAAATATTTGATATGTAAAAGAACTTATTAATAATGACAAATCAGATTTCACCTATAAAATATTGAAATAGATTTTCTAATCTTTTAAAATTCTCCTGTGAAGAAAAAAACAGAACTTTTTAGTTGTTGATCTTATTTTTAATCATTTATAATTCCCATGACTATAAAAGGTCTTACTCAATTTTACCTTGAAAAGTTCAATTTTCAATTGATTCTCTGATTTCTCAAGTCGACAGATTGGTAAAGATGGTATTGATCTTTTAATATACTTCCACCTATGACACTGTGATATCAATGTACATTTAATCACATAAGCTGAAATTCCAATAAACTAGATTACAATCTCATGAGAAAAAATTTTAATTGATTAAAAATTAATACAAATCGGTTCGAATATGCTGGAATCAAATAAAGCAAATTCAGTTCAGAAAACCCAAGTAAAACGGTTTCATTTTGATTGACTTTTAAACCGAGAAAAATCGGCTACAATATAGAAATTTTCATGGTTTTATTACATGACTGGCTTTCATCGCCAAGTAAGAAAAAAAACTAAAATCAGGAAAAAATCATGAAAATCAGTTTTTCTGAATTCAGAAGATTGTGGTAATCCTGGGAGATAGGCTACGATAGAAATAAAACATTTCATAATAGTTCTAATTAATTGATATCATACTCATATGAATCTTATATAATTTCAATTTTACATATTAGATAAATTTTTTATAAAAAATTGCTGCACAATATTTTATTGCAGTGCTTTAGTAATACGTCGAAACTATTACAGTTTGATCTGATCTACAATTTATCATACTTCCTGTCATCGATACATAAATTTATATTATAAAATACTACAGTTATCATATATCTATTATACATATTAGGTCAAATAGCTATGCATGTGAAAAATGACTTTTATAAAATTCGAATTTTGATCTTTAATAGAAGTATCTGATTAAAAGTATTCGAATCTTATTTAGTTTTTAAAAAAACCTCAGGCTTTCAAATACAAAGTTGTAATTTTTTACATAATATACAAATCAAATGAATATTTTCCCAAATGCAACTAAGTACATTTATTAAACCAAGATTATGTCTGTATAACAAGTGTTTTATGATATTGAAGAAAGTCAACAACTTTTTTTTTTGTCAACAATAAATTGAATCATAACGTGATAATAAATGAAATCATAACTGATCATTCTAACAATTTTGAAATATAAATTATTCAAACTTTGATTTATATCGAGTTGTTAAATGTAAAGTATATTAGAATATTTTCCAATACATAAAATAATGTTGAAAGATGGCTATAAAAAAAAGAAATTTTTTAAATAAATATGACTAAATATTTTTCTTAACAAGTAATAGTCGTCTATGTTTATTAATTTAACTACATGTAATCATGCGAGATAGATTGTAGTTAAAAAAAATACTGAGTTTTTAGCTGTAATAGTAAATAAACAGAATTAGTTACTTTTAAATAACATAACTTACATGACAAGACAATCTTTTATACATATAGTTAGAGTTTTAATGTAATTGCAATATCAATTTAGGAATGATTTTCCATGAATAATTAAATTCATTTTGGTTTCAACAAAAGAGAATATAATTAGATGTCATGTCTATTCCTTTTCATATCGATTTGAAGTGACATTTTTAATAAAGTTCAGTGCTTAGTAATGAATGATATAGGATCACTTGAATATGACTTATTTATACTATTGAATCTAAAGATTTTTCATGTCTTGAAACTTCACATATAGTTAAAACCTGTTCACAAAAAACAACAAACAACATTCATCTACTTAAGTTGCATGTCTGTATCTTATCGCATTTAATCTACATATATCACATGTGAATTATCTTGAATAGGTTTTCTTTGAGAAAAAATACGCATTTTCTCAAGACGCTCATTCTTACTATGACTAATTAATTAGATCCTATTAGAACAATTGGTAGTTTCTTTTAAATTTACTTGATTATTTATTTTCTTTTAATAGCAAGGAATATGAAACGATTCATTAAATTTTTATTGAATATTACGATTTAGTAAAAAAAAAAAAAGGTTTAGTTCAAACTTCTGCATGACTCCATTCACTAAATCCATGTCCAGTAAGATTTTCTTGTAAAACTATCCATGTGTCGTTGTATTTGCCGTATAATATAACTTGATATTGAGAAATTTGTTCAAAGACTTTTAATCCTAAACCACGACCACTTGAATTACCATTACTCACTCTTGCTTTGTATTCCATATTGACTTTGTATTTTTGATTAAATGCTTCAAGCTTGATATGAATAGAATATTTTCAACTATCAACAATTTGCCATTCTAATGGTGTCAAATCGAATTGATCTCCACACAATAATCCTATTTCAATTCGTTGATCTCTCCAACGAATAAGTATGTATCCAACATAAATATCTTTAGTTGTAAGTATATGATAACTGCTCAAGATTAATAAAAAATCTTTATCGACTCGATGAAATTGTGCCCAAACCCAATTAAAAAGATTTGTTGGTCGAGTTCCAAAATAATGATCATGATAAGCAGTAGTATCAATTGAAAATCTTTGACTATTATATTGTATAGATCCGAAAACATGAGCACGGCATATAGGATATCCAATCTAATACTAATAATTGTGGTATGTCATCTTCTACTCTGTAAGCATAAGATTTTTGTTGAAATATTAGTTACCAACTTATTTGACCATCTTTACTGCTACCGACAACTTCATATATTGTCTGATTTAAGACCTTAATGAAATTTCCATTAGTAATCGAGCGACAGTTGCATTTTCTTTATATGCCGAAAATTGTTCAAAACTATATGGATCTAAAATATTTATTGGATCTTGACCAGTATTATTTTCCACTGAAGTTCATAGCATTCGAGAAATATCAGAACCTTCTAAACCAAAGATAAGATGTCCTTGAGGTCATTTTTCATTAGAAAAACTCGCATTTCTTCACTATAGTTTTACCTTGTGTGTTGACTTTTTTATAATAGACAAAAGAGTCTTCATAGCTTATACTCGTAAAAAACCTGCTGAACAATACTGCTTTGAAATACAGAGGATGAGAATGTGTAGTGTGGATTGATCATATCTTTGCTAGACGTCCACACTCACACCGCAAGATAGCCATCCATACTCTGTAAAAAGATTTTTAAGACTCTAATAAAGATTTTTTTTAAGGTGATTATTTAAATAACATTACAAACTAAATCATTTAATTTAATTAATATCTTTTCTATAATACGTGTGCCACGAATAGTGCTAGTGCCCAAGCTGTGCTACATACACAATAGCACTTTGACACAAATTTTTCTCTACATATTGAGTATTAGTCATTATTTCACTGTAATGAACAACTTATTAGTCTATCTCGAATGTATCTATTATTTTAACCAGCCTGCAGTCATTGGCGATGTGTTTATACTAAATAATTAATTTGCTTACTGTTCTTTCAATTCCATATATCATATTTAATTACTCAATAGATAGGGTGTGGGTGTGGGTGTGATGTAAGAGAATACAAGATTCCAACTCACACCTAAGACTATTTGCAAATCGATCATGACCTATATAAATAACAATCGAATTAACTGTAGAAAAGGATTTGATTAACGCATCAATATACTTAGAATGATAAAAACTAAACTAGCTAAAACGAATACAAATATCAGAGATCAAAGATTTTTATTAATTGAAATTTAACCATTTGAATAAAACAATATTCTACTTAAAAATCAAGATTACAGAGAAGTACTTTATTGTCATATTCGAGTGTTCAATAGCAGAAAATATTTTCTAGGTGTCACGTCACAACTAGAAAAATCTTTTGCGATTGGAATTTCAATATGTGACCAATGAAAGATGTAGATATAATTTCTCTACTAATAAAAAAAAAATATTTTATTTTCGAAATAGTAAAAATTTATGCTGGTACTGCATGAGGACACTGTAATCGTGTTGATGCAAGAGTACTCCTACTTATCATATTCTACTATGATTCACAGTATAACAATCAATGTTAAGCAAATAGATTTAGTCTACGTTTATTGATCTATATCGGTGTGACGATATGTCAGAAGTGGATCGCTATGTTCATGGATAAACGCCTTCTTTTTATAAGTAGATACATTTATTTTGTATCATGCTGTGATCTCCTGTTATGATTGCACCACGAAAGCCACTTTTTGAGAAATAATCAAATAAAACAGAGTATGACAGCCTATGTGGTTTTCAACTATAATAAAGTGCAAAAGTCATAACTATAATCGAAGTCGCTCGAATTAAAGCTCAGCCCATAATTAAAACGTTAATTGATTATTTTGTTTGTCTTCTGTTTCTCATTTTGATGAATATCTATATTCGACATATTGAAAAAAACTAACAAAGAAAAAAGAGAAATTTATGTGAGTGAAAATTTCAAGATGATGAAAAGGACAATTCTATAACCCTTTTATAAAAAAAAAAAAAAAAAAACTATAATTTGTGATAAATATATCAATATTCTAATTAATTATAATATACTTATTTGTACAAGTATCTAGCCTTGAGGGACTTTCAATGCATAAATGCTCTTCATGAAAATAAGAAAATTTGCAGAAGGTATATGCGCCGTTACTTAAAAAAATTCTTTTATAACTTTATCAAAGATGATCAAATTCTATTTGAAAATACGAAAAATTGAACATAGATGTGATTTTAAGATTCAGAAAGAGAAATTTCAATCATTGTGTTCATCATCCTGTTGGTAGGGATAACTGATTATCTTTTGATATAAATATATTAGTTTATTATTAGCAAAATAGTGGAAAATTGAAAATATTTTTTTTCTTGATAAATGAGATATTTTTTATTATTAATTGATATTGTAAAAGGAGAATCTATACATACAAAGAAGAAAATATTATTGCAAATTTTAGAAATAATACTTTGTACTACATGAAAAAAACAAATTTGAGTCAATGAACTATTAAATTAATCGAAAAGTTAAAACAATAAATTTATTATTTTTATTTTCTTTGACCCATTGATCATTATTGACAATCTATTCAAAAGATATTTTTCATATTTCTCTTATGATTTTGACATAGACATTATTATAGATCATTTTTCTATCATTCTAACACAACAAAATTATAGTGTGCAGATATATGCGTCACGGATCACTGCACTTCCTCTTTGTTTTTTTATCATATATATAAGTATGTATTGAATGTGCATTAGACACATTTTAGAGATGTAAAGTAGCCAATGAACATCATCATTGAGGGTGACGGTAAGCTATTTCTTCAATCTCTCATACCATCGCTCCTTTTATTTAATGTTACAAATAGGTATCACGAATATTCGAAGTATCTCTGATTGATGTCAATGATTCAATCTATTAAAATTCTTTTTTGAAGATTGTTCATTCTTTTAATCTATATACGTGAATTACACTGAAGGTTTTTATTTGATAGTTAAAGTAGTTAACTAAAGTCTAAGAAGAAAGTTTACAAAATTTTTCTTCTTTGAATATTTTTCCTTTCGTTTATGACAATAAACAGGCAATAATATTTTCGACATTATTGTCACGAAAAATAACAGGAGAGATGGTCTGACATACTGAACGAGGAGTAGCTTATCACCATCATTGGTAATGATGTTTATTAACTACTGTACACCTACCAGAATGTGTTTATTCAACATTCTACACACGCTTATATATGATACAGAAACAAAGAGAGAGAGAGACAGAGAGAGAAGAAAGTGCAGTGATCCATGACGCATATATCTGCACAATTATCTTCAATTTCAACATTTAATACATATATGTTCATCATAAAATGAAATAATATCTTTTAAAATAATCAGAGAACACTTATCTTTTTTTTTCCTCTTCGTTCTAATTTTTATCTTGTTTCTCCGAAGTAAATCAATTGTTCTGTAACTATTTAGATCATTTAGAATATACACTTCATAAAGATGAATTTCGAACGATTGGTCAACAAACTACTTCTCGATATCTTCGAATATTTTAAAAGTATTCATTTACTTCAAGCATTTTCAAATCTCAATTCTCGTTTTAATAATCTTCTTATTATTCATTTTCGAACACATACTCTTGATTTACGATCAATATCGAAACATGAATTTGATACTCTATGTCAACAAAATCTTCCTTGGATTGCTAATCATATTATTAGACTTCGTCTTTCGGATGATGATGATACACCAAATCAAATTAATCTATTTCTTTCTCAATCTTTAACATTTCGTCAATTTGTTCAATTAAAAAAATTATCACTCTATCATATATCTTCATATGGAATCATTAAAAAAGTTCTCTTTCAAATTCGTTATCTTCGTCATCTTACTCATTTTGATTTAATCAATTGTCATTTAAAATTTCATCGAAAAATATTGCATGATATTCTCAATCGTATTTGGCTTTTACTAGAACTTAACCATGTTCATCTTGATTTGAATTTCGTCAATGCACATGAATTTATTACTCCAACGATTCGATCAAAATCTATTGAATATTTAATTATTGAAAATACTTTATTAAATTCTATTGATTTAATTCGATTATTTCGATGTACACCAAATCTTCGACATTTAACTGTTATGATCGATCAGTTCTCTAATGATACACAATTTCCATCTAAAATTGAATCGATTTCATCATTAAAACTTTTTGTCGATCATTTAACTGATGGAACAATTAATCTATTAAAAAATATGCCTAATTTAACTTGTTTAACTCTTCAAACTGGAAAACATTATATGAATGGTCATAAATGGAAAGAATTAATTATTAATTATTTACCAAAATTAAAAATATTTCAATTTATTATGCTATGTAATGTTAATAATGAAGAAGAAATGAATGAAATGTTTGATTCATATCGAACACCATTTTGGCTTAATGAACGACAATGGTATGTTCGATGTCATTGGAAATTGGAAGATAAAGAAATTTGCATTTTATTATATACATTACCATACGCTTTTCAATTTTATAGTTGCATTAGCGAAAATTCATCTGGTCATACAAAATCAACATGTCCTAATGAAAATGACTATTGTTCTTATAATCGTGTAACTAAATTATTTCAACATTTTCCGATATTAAATGATTCGTTTCTCTCTCGTATTCGCTTTTACAATATTCGACATCTTGAATTGACACTTCCGGTTGCTGATCAACATTTGTCGATTCTTCCTCGTTTCGATCAATTAATTTCTCTCGATGTATCAAGTGACTCCGATGTTGATGGTAATGTTGTTTTGTCTCAATTACAAAGTATTATTAATCGAGCACCTAATCTACATTTTCTGATTATCGGTCATTGGAATTCATCAAGTGTTCAACAAATACCATTACATATTACTAGTAATTCAATTCGTCGACTCGATTTACAAAGTCATCATTATGCAAAACGTGATCGTTGTTTCAACATTGAACAATGTAGAACATTTCTTACTACATCCATTGCTAAACAATGTCAAGTTCTGCAAATTGTCATTAATGATAAATCAAGTATAAATGAATTAATTAATAGAATGCCTAATCTTCAAGCATTGAAGGTGGTATATCAACCTGGTGATTGGAACAATCATTATCCGGGCAGACGAATTATGATTAGATGGCTGGCAGCTGGATTTTCACATACTATTACAGAGAACTTAATTGGTACTGAAACTTCTCGATTTTGGATTCGTTAATAAATAAATAATATGTATTGTTTTTGTAGTTAGATTAACTAGATTTGAAAACTTTTTGTATTCAATAAGAATAAAATTTGAACAAAACTTTATTTGTTGAAATTATGAATAAAAATACTTTTTAGGATGCTACATAAACAACTGAATAAAACTTTATTTTCAATAGAAAAAGTTATTCAAGTTTCATATTTAAGTTTTCAACTGTAAATACAGAGAAGATCTAACGGAATGGCTCTTTGACAATACTTACATATCTAATGAAATAAGAAAAAAAAATTTCTTCTAATAGATGAGTTTTAATTGAATTTAAGTATATTCTTTTGTTTATGCATTACCAATATTGACGGTTGATCATTTTTTTCAATATGACAAGCAACAAAATAGACAATTCAAATAATAAACAGTTATTATTAAAGTAATTCTTTATTATTTACATTACTATGGGTATATGAGATGAATTTCAATACGTAGTAGTTTTCTTTTCATTGATGCTGATTCACATTTTTTTGATTTTTTCATTTATTCCATAATTTTCTTTTAAAATTTTTGCATCAGATGTTTCACTTTCATATGGATCAACTTGTATTACTTCCATCTGTTTTAGTCTTTAACACACCTGATTGTGAACAAAAGGATATAACTAAAGAGTACGTATAGATAAATATATGCCGTACGCGTCTCCTAGCCGATCTAGTAGAAGGACAGAAAGTAAGAAAAAAAGTGAATTACACTATCTTACGTTTCGATTTTTTTTATTTATCTTTTTATTCAATTTACAGATCTTTAAATATACTGAAAGAGGCTAACTATTTTAATAATTGATCATTTAAATAGTTTTCTAATCATTCATTTACTTCACTGACCATAGATTTATTTCACTGATTTTATAATTTTTTTTGCTTACTGACCATTTCATTTATTCTACTGACCACTGAAATGATAACCATATTTTTTTATTTGAGTGCTACATAATAAAGATGTTTTCTTATATTTATGTAAAAACAAAAATAATCATCATGAATTTTCTTTGAGATGATCAATAATTATCATCTGTCAGAAAATTTCCAACAACAATACAAAAAAAGAGTGAAATATTTACATCAAAACTGTTTTAGTGTATGATCAGTTTAAATTTTTTTATTCGAATGTATCTATTGTTATTTGAGTTAATATGACTTGAGATCCTAATCTATTATCGCTATCAGGATGAGCAGTACCACCAGATGATTCAAATGTGATCTTGTCTATGTCTTTCCAATGAAGAAGAATAAATTGTGGTTTGCCAAATAAAAGTATTATTGTATGTTTCTTGATCTCTATGCTATGTCGAAAACCTTTAATGATTAGTTGTAGATTATCGTTCCAGGCAGCACATGCCGTGACAGAAAAAAAAGTAAATAGTTGATGCAGATATCTACGACTCAATGATGCCTGGTCCTTGAAAAATGCTATATACGAACTAGCATTAGGCATGAAGGACGTTGCGTATCCACTTTTTGGATGATTTTTTGTTGCGTACAATTTGTGCATGTAATTCATACTGGTCCATGTTAATTCTCGATATTGAACTGGAATACAATAAACACTATCAGCTCCACCTTGTAAATCATTAAATGTAATTTTGATTATTGGTATTTTTGGATCTAAACTCATTGTTGTTTAAATGTCTTTAATGGAAATCGAATCTAGTTCTTCACTTACGTATGATGCGCATTTCATCTAATTGAAGATTGAGTTCATGTATCTCGTGTTTATATTCTTTTGATTCATTTTGAAGTAGCCGAATTTGTTCTTTTAAACAGATAATTTCAGTATGTTTTTGATTAAAATCAGCTCTTTTGAATATGAGTTTGCAAGTTTGACACTTTAAATCAATTAATGGACATGTGCCCATATGATTATCAAAATTCTTTTTCAATATTTCTGATTTACAACCAGAACACTGACGAGGTTGAAAACCACATTCGATCTCATGTTTATCTAACTCTTCATATGAAGTAACCTATAAAAAGATCACATAAAGTTTAAAAAAAATAATCAACATATACGTACTTGATCACAACCATGAGATTGGTAGAAACATTTCATATTTAATTGAGCAAGTAGTTTAGCAATAAATGGAGGACATTTTCGTTCAATATATGTTTCACATCGATTTGGACAATGTTTTGGATGATCGATTAACCATTGATTAATACATGTAGAACAGAAAGATGTTTCACATGATTGACAAGCAACTGGTTTCCAAAGTAATCCACGACAAATAGAACATTCAAGATCATCAATGTCGACTTTAGGTATACTAAGAATACGTTCAGAAGATAGATGTTTTTGTTGAGATGTCATCTAAAAAATTAATAGCAGAAAGAGATTATTTCATAATTAAGAAATTGTGAATATTATTAATATAGAATTAATCTTTTCAATAGTTTTAAAAATTAGAAGGAACTCTTGATGTTTACTCAATATAGTTAAATCAATGTTACTAACTGCATATTTCATAGATGCGATCAACTATATCAATATACAATTCTCCTTTTTTTTAAATCCTCTTCCATACTAGAAGCCCCCAAGGACTTCTAAACTGTCCACCACCCAAAATTTTCGGAGGGAGCTTCTATTAAGCCCTAAAGTTTTTCAATAGTTTTAGGTATAAAAAAAAACTTCAAAGAATTCCTGGGCTTTTTAGAGTTTTTCAAATGACTTTACAGGATATTTCGAGATTTTTACGCTGGTACATAAGAAAATTAAAAAAATTCTTATCTTAAGATCTTGAATTTCGACGGGTTTGCGATGAGAATACCAATAAAATTTTTGAAAAACTTTGGAAAATAAGTGGGGCTTTTAATATGGGAGAGGGTTTAGTCGTATGTCATTGATTTTTCTTTTCCTCTTGATATTTTTTACTTATTTTATTAATTTTCTTTCGCCTTGTTCATTCTATATGTATGTCGTTGTATGGATTTTCTTCATTCTGTTATGCCCTATGTATTGTTGTTGCACTGTTGTAAAGATACAGGAAATAGATGTATATACAGAAATGAATTAAAAGTGCATTTTATATGTCATAATCAATTCTTTTGCTCTCCTCCCTAACAAATTTTATTCCGATATGATTTCGTTCATGTCCTATTAATTCATGCTTATTGATAAATATATCAATGAATGATATAGAATTATCTCTAGATAATAATTTTTTCGTTGTTTAAATAACACGTATGGATTATATAATGTAATCATCAAAATAACGTAGTCAATTCTTTTTAATCGAAGACATGCAATAGTCAATTGTAGTCAATATCGAGAAACGTTGATAAACATAAGGAGAACATAGTAGAAAAAATATATTCACGATTCTATATATGGAAAAATTGTGGAACTGCACAATATAGCTTAAATATTCGATTTCGTTTATATCTATTTATGCCTACCGTCTTAACACTGGTTATACAGTTTGTTATCAAGAAAATGAAAAATCATGCATATTTATAGGATAGTGTCATATGCTAAACAATAGTATAAAGAATGGTGATCATGGCAGACCTGTTGAACAATAGAACAACGAGTGATTGTCATACTAGACGTTGAGCAATAGTATAAACAACGATGATCACGCGAAATGTAGAAAAACAGATGATTGGAAGATAACATGATAGTCAAGGATCGTCTCAATAACATACTATTAGAGTAGTCTTTCTCATTCAACAAATTATTTGTATAAAGTGAGTTTTCAGTTAATATTAGCTGAACTATAGTTTATTAGTTCATATTGTATACATGTTATCTATCCATGGAATATAGAATTATTATTTTTAAATTTACTTTATGCTAACAATATTATATGTATCATAGTCATTCATACAAACTAGGCTTTAATAAAAGATAATTGATCTGTCATAATGAAATTCTCTATTGTACACCGAAATGAGTGCGACTGAAGCGAAGTCTGATCTTCATGCATTGCCATCTATGAAAATAGCCCATACGAAATTTAATCAGTTCTTCATTGCAATTACAATCCAAACATGGTATACATTTTTTTTCTATTTTTATCGAAAATTTTGTAAAAAGTCTAAATAATTTATCTCTAATCGATGCAACTCTTTGCTTGATGAATTATTTTCTTGAAAAATTGAATACAATGAACTTTCGTGCAATTGTTTGTGTTGGTTTATCAACCACATAAAATTCTTCTATTTTGATAAACAAATAGTTTTGCTTCTGTCTTACAAAGTATGTTGTCAATCGATGATGATGAAAATAATATTTGTATTAGTGATCATCTTTTAGTAACTATTTCAATATTTGATTTTTGAAATATTTTCTAACATTATTACATTTTATGGAAGGCTTTTCGATTTACTGAAATGTCAAGTTGACAGACTTTTAAAGAATTTGTTGTTTTTTTTTTCGCCATCACACTTGCATCGAGATTCTACTCCAAATGATTTTCCAAAAAGGCCTATGATAACACATCAAGTGATACAGCAAATCTATTTGTTACATAATTATGCTTCGAAGGCACTGAAAGACCTTTAGGAAAGCACTTGCTAAATTACGTCGTATCGCACTTCATCTTAGTGAGTATTATTTTGCACGAACCAATATTAATTGCATAAATAAACAACTTGAATGGTCATCTTTTCTCTTTTAAGAAATTAATTAAATTATTTAAAAAAAATGTTTATTCAGTATCTTGGGTGTGGGTGTGTGGGTGTCTTCTTTTGTTCAACAACCATAACCACACTCACACCCACACCCACACCCACACGCACACATACCCACACCCACCCACACCCCACACCCACACTCACACCCTCATTATATAAAAGTTCTTCATCCAACTCTTTTAGTTAATCTGTATCAGATGTATGATTCATTAAGATTAGTAGTGATACAACATTTGCACTAGTAGAATTCTAAGAAAAACAACACTGATCATTAAGTAATTTGAGTCACCATGTACCAGACATATCACTTTTCCGGATATTTTCCTCATTCGAAATTTTTTCAGCACACCAATATGTTAACCAATAGTATTCGACGTCTTTCTTTCTCAGTTATTATAAGACGACATGAGTAACGATCCTAACGGTTCGTTGATTTATTTTGTTCTTTTTTTCATCCATACACACTATTTTAGTAATCATTAAGTTGATGCTCCCTTGTACATACAAAAAGAAAAACTTTATAATCAATTCTTTTTAGGAAAAGAAATGTGATTTATCAGTGTTGCTATATCTCAAAGCACTGAATGCAGATGAGAGCGCAAGATAGAAGTAGAGATCTTCGTTATAAAATTGTTATGTATATGTCGTATCGAAGTTACACCGGTCGACGAAGTTATAACTTCGTCGTCTCATATTGACGAAGTTACAACTTCGTCGTATAAATGTGACGAAGTTATAACTTCAACGATGATCGCCATCGAAGTTAATTTTGATTCATTTATCAATAAATAATTTACTTCATAGAATATCCTACTGCTGAATATATAATCAAAAATAATGTTTTTAAAAATAAATATTCATTTATTTAAGAATAGAGATTGTTCATAAATTACAAAACAAAATTAGGACATAGAATTTATAGTATATGTTTTACACACAAGTTATTAGTAAAAAAATTAGAATTAACACTAGATATTTTTAACATAAGTTATTCGAAAAAAAGTTTAAGATGTGCAGGGTGGGAAATAATATTATTCAAGGGGGGTACCACTATAATTTCAAATAGAAGATATGATGAATT